TATTACTGTAAAAAAGTTTGTGAATAATTGAAATGTCTGAAAAAATATTTATAAAATGATAAAATATTAGAAATATAGGTACAATAAAATAATTTTTTGTCTGAGATCATCCGGTTTTTTATAATCACTTTGAACTTTAATTAATCTAAAGTCGAGTGGAATCAGACCTAATAAGAAATATAAACTTTTCTAAACCTATTTTTTTTATTCAAAACGAAAATCTTACTTTAAAAAAATCGAATTAATCAAGTTTGTTGCTCATTTAATATTATTTTTATCTCAATTGTATTTTTTTTTATCTAAAAACACGTATTGAGAAGTTTTTTTTATTTAAATTAAAAATCAAGTTTTTAAATTGAAAAAAAAAATGTTTAGCTTTATTTTTAAATGTAAAAGTTACTTTCAAAAGTAATTTTTTTTGTTTAACATTACTTTTGAATGCAAAAGTTACTTTCAAAAGTAATATTAAACTAGCCTTTAAATACACATCGAAAAGCTATTATACACCAATAACAAAGTCCATTTGGGTTGATTAAACAAATGATACCAAATTAAATCATTAAGTCTTACAATATGGCAGAACAAGGCAGAAAGAAGATGGATCGAACAAAACAAAAGAAGTACAAAAAAAATTTCAGAAATTATAATTGGTTTCTGTCAGTTTGGTTTAAGAATTAAGATTCTTACAATATGCTGTCCAAATCCACTGACAAAAGCAGCTAATAATTTGGGATTAGTTACAATAAGGCAAAAGAAAAGACAAATGAGGGTTTTTTTTTTTTTTCATTAGCAATTTGGTTTTGCTCTTGTCCACATGATCCATCTCCTTAATAAGCCAAAACCCTGTCTTTTCGGCCACTGAATTAGGATATCAAACATTGTTAATGAAAGAAAAATTTCTGTTTCCTACCTTCTGGATCAACCATTTTTGGATTTAACCTCAAAATTTTCAAAATTAAATGGTTTATATTAGGGTTTTTTCCCCATATTTTGATGAAAAAAATAATTTTTTTTTATTTTGAAAAATAAAGATTTTGAACCCTACAAATAAAGAATCGTTCATAATTATTAAGACAAATACTTGGACACGGATGACAAAGAAATCTTAGAATTCAAATTTATACATATATATATATGTAATAATGTAATATGGTATGAGTAAAAAGAATTTAACTAATGGGATGATTTCATTTAATTTGCATTTGGTTATAACTTAGAAGCTCAAAAATCTTCCCCATGCTTGAATAATTAAAATTCAAGTGGTTCAAGGTACTACTAACTGTCGTGGTCCTTTCTTAGAAAACAATTAAGGGTAGATATGAATTGGTATTTACTGTATGACCCTAATATTATATATACACATTACTGCCATAATTGATTGATTGGACAATACATTCTAAAATTTGGACTTACCTTTAACAATTATTGAACTTCTAAGTTAAGAAAAAAATGGCAAATTTGTGTTTAAGCCAATTGAAAAAAAATTAATCTTGAACTAATAGTTTTGGGTTTAATAATGACTTTCAAATAATTCTAAAGTTCTGATTTTTTTTTCTAACATAAATTTTTTTAACTTGAATGCGTCGCGATTCATGTTCGAGTTAATTCAATTGGTAAATAGAAGAGTTTTCGTTTTTAACAATCATGATTCAATTTTTGTGAAAAATATTTTAAAAATAAATCCTTAAAATCACTAAAAAAAAATTAGATCCAAACAAAATTTAAAATGATTCTGATCATATTATAAAAAATAGTCTGAATCAAAATACCAATCCTAGATGATTGACATTCATAAATGACAAAGTTTTTTTTTTTTTTTTTTTTTGTATTTGAAGTTTATAACCACTTTTGGACCAGACAAATTCTGATTTCTTAACATTCTGGATCAAATATACCATCAAGCATGTTGTTTATATGTAGTTAGATGTAGGACCTATCAATACTAGCTTTAGGTTTAGGACAGTTTCAATAAGATTATTTTTCAAAATACGAGACACATAATGAAGGATTTGCTTCCTTGGTACCAAGTAAAATGTTAGGGGCAATGGACCACCTGATCATTTTTTGCCCTAGCCAAAGGCAAACCATTGTCATCAACAACCCTTTAGCATTGGGATTAAAGAAAGGGATTTGTGGAATTGCAAATCCAGCATTTCTCATCATGAAGTTTACCAATTTGCCAAAGCCAAACGTGGTGGGTAATAAAATTGTAAAAAAATTGGATCGGTGTCTATAGGTACTATTTAAAATAGTTAAAAATAAGGATGAAATTTTTTTTTTTTAAAATTAAAAATTGATTTGAAGTTGTTTGGTTTGATTTAAATAAATTTTTTTATTTGAATCGAATTAAATTTGAATATTACATAAATAAATATATATATATTAATTTTGGATTGAAATTTGAATTAAAAAGTGAAAAAAAATTAAACTGAATTATATATTTGTACTAATTTTATTTTTTTTTGAATTTTTATAAAATAAAAATAATCATTTTATACATAATTTTATTTAAATATATTAAAAATTATATTAAAATAATATATAAAATATTAAATTAAAAAAAACAGTGAAATGAATAGATAATATTATATTTAAATCAAATCGTGTGAAAGTACGATTTCATAATTTTATATATTATAAAAAAATCAAATTAAATTTAATTCGAATTATTATTATTTTTAATTAAAAATGTTATTTAAAAAATTTAAAAATTAATTCAAAAAATTAATTAATTTTTATTTTAAATTATGGTTTTTAAAAAATATTATTTAAAATTTTTTTATATTTAATGTATTATTTTTACTAAATTAAAAATTATTATAATTAAATTATGTTTCTTTAAATATCATCTTAATCGATGCGACTAAACCAATAAATATTTTAATTATAAGTAATTGAGCCTTAAGTAATTCAAGATTTTTTTTCCCTCAAGCAAAGTGTTTAGTTAGTCTGTTATGTGAACCCGACCAAAGCCGAGTTAACCGGCAAGGTACGAATTTAATGCAATGATTTGACTTCAACTAAACATGAAGTATTTGTTATTAAAATTTTTTTTTTTTTCCAAGTTATAGATTTTGCTTCCACTATTTATTTAATTTACTCTGACTTTTAAACCACCCAACCCCTGTGCTGTCTCCAATGATTCTCAAATATAAAACTATTTAACTTGTTTAACCGAAGTGGGAAATTTGAAAATTGTTCACAAAAGAATTTGAGATTACAATTAAAAAATATATTAATTTAAAAATAAAGATGAAATTGTAAGTGTTTGACTTTAAAATTTTTAATTTATTAGATTTTATTTTTTAAAAATAATTATATAAATTAATTAGACAAAGTTTCGAGTCCAAATAAAAATTACAATCTATTCTTTTACATCATGTAGTAAAAATATTATAATTATTTTTTGTAATTGCAAAATGCATTTTCCATTTGTGTTGTAAATGACAAGTGGGATCATGAAATAAAAGATTATCCTCTTAAGAAGATGAAAATTTCATACAAAAAAATTGTAAATTTGAAGTAAAAAATAATCAATGAAATTGCACCGTTGTTAGACCTGATAATCTTAAATATAATATAATAACATAATATAAAATTAATAAGAATAAAATATATAAAGATAATACGATGTAAAATTTTAACAAAAATTATAAATAAATTTAACAAAATAAAAAAAATATTATATATTTTTTATTGATATAATTTGTGATATATTATTTTAATATCAAATATAATATGAATATATAAATTATTAATATTTTATATTACATAAATATATAAATTATTAAATTTAACTGTTGCAGCATTTTAAGGCATAGATAGTAAGTTGAAGAGTGGCAATGAGATGAGGATTCAGCCACTGCCATGCTATACAGGGTAGGTTGATCATTTGATGCTCTCCTATTCACACCCATTTCTCCATGGTCTCCGGGGCCAAGGAGCGTTAATGCGTGTAGGAATTGGCCTTTCATGACCCATGCAGCGGTGCCAAAACTTCTAAATAATAGTTTTTTTCAAGCTTTCGTTAACCTGCAAAATGGTGATATTACTGTTCATTGTCTACATTAGAAATCATGCCATGCCGTGTCGGTTTTAACCATTTTGTTTCTTCTAACATATATTATTTAATAAAATAGTTTCATTCATTTCATTTCACTTTACTTGAAAATATTTTCACGAATCAAATTTCAAAATTCATCATAAATTTTTATTCGTATTCAATCATTCGAACATACATATATTATTTTTTATTAATAAATGTAAAAATAAATAAAATATTTTGATTTGACAATCAACAAGTTTGTAAATTGACTAATGAAAAAAAGCCAAGAAATGTAAGCATCATCAAATAAGATTTTTCATCAAAGTATAATAATCGTTTTTAATGTTGGCATGAATTTTGTATATAATTGGTTAAAATTTCTTATCCATATATATATATATATATATATATATATAAAGAAAAACCAGTTGTATAATTAGAAGTACAAGTCAATCCCAATCCCAGTTAAAATCTGTGGCTAAAGGCCAGCTTTCGAGTGAAAAACCATGGAGGACTTCCTAGAGGATTCATGAATGGCGGGTTCGAGGAGACTTGAGAATTTCAAGAGAGGGAAAGGACATTTTGGTGCTTTGACGTTCAAGGCCCGGCAACACCCTCCCTTCTCCGCCTTTTAAGGGGGAAAGATCAAGAAAAAAATTTGCTTAATATATTAATATTACTAGTACATACATCATTGTAAAAATTAACGAATAATTGATTCATGTGATAAAAAATATATTATTTTTTTGTTGTTTGAATTTTAATTCGTTGAGAAATCAAGAAAAAATAATTTTTTATAAATTCATTAAATCCGACTAGAATAAAATTTTTTGAATCCTTATGTAATATTTTAAAAATAAAAAATAAAAAGGTCGAGCAATAGCCTTTCTTCTACATCTATAAAACTCCATTGCAGCCCAACCCAAAACTTCCCCTTTCCCTCTCTCACTTTCTTTGCTTAATTCTCTTGCATAGCATTTCTACACCAAACATATCATCTTCCTTCCGTTTCCTCTAACCACCTCTTTCCCTAACCTCTATTCTATAAAAAAGAAATGCAATCATTTTGAGCCCACAATTGATCCATTTCCACTCAACTTTCACTTATTCTCTTTTGGAAATATAAAGAATCCAAAGTTAAAACTATCAAACTGGGACTTTTTTGTTTTTTAAATTTCCAATTCTTGATCTGGATTTGTCACATTGAACTAAGTTTCTTCAATGGAGAACCAGTTTTTCCTTAATGCAGGAATCCCACTAGCTGCACCGCCATTGCAGTTTGGACCGTCTTTATCATATTCAGCGCCAATTTCAGCTTGGCAGTCCCTGTCTTCAGCCATGGAAATTGAGGCAACAGAGCTGAATTCTTCTTCCCCTGATCGGTCTCAAGATTGTTTCCTGATTACCAACTGGGAAAAATCAACAGATTATGGTCTACAGTTTGACTCAGCGCTGAGTTCAATGGTGTCCTCCCCAGCAGCATCAAATTCCAATATCTCCAATGAGAGCTTTATGATCAGGGAATTGATAGGCAAATTGGGGAGTATTGGTAACTCTGGTGAGATCTCCCCACATTCTCAGCCATTGTTGGCTTCTTACATCAATGGAAACAACAGTACAAACACTTCTTGTTATAGCACTCCATTGAATTCTCCTCCTAAATTAAACTTTCCAATGATGGATAGTTTGATTAAAGAGAAGCTTCCCAGTTTGGGAAAATCAATGGGGTTGAATTCCAGTGTGGCAGAATTCTCAGCTGATCCAGGATTCGCAGAGAGAGCAGCAAAGTTCTCTTGCTTTGGAAGCAGGAGTTTCAATGGTCGAACAAGTCAATTTGGACTCAACAACAACACTGAAATACCTGCTTACAGATCTAATCCATTGACAGCAAATGCCAATCTACCGCGTATTTCGAGTAGCCCTTCTCTAAAGGCAATGGGATCTCAAGTTGGTGCTGTTCAAGGGACCAACAAAAATTCTCCATTGCAGGATCGATCCGAATTAGCCAATTCTCAAGACGAATCCACAGTTTGCGAACAAAATCCCAATGTTGATCCTGGTTTCAAAGCTTCGAAAGATTCATATTCAAGGAAAAGGAAGGCGGTTCCAAAAGCAAAAACAAAGGAAACGTCAGCACCCGCATCAGCAAATGCTGCAAAGGTATAGAGTTGAAAGAGCTCTAACTTCAAAGTCTCAAAATTCCAACTGTAGATTTTATAGAGAATTGTTCCTTTTGACATTCAGCAATTATCCATTCCCAGGTGTCTGAACCCAACGAAGAATCAAATGAGAAGCGATGCAAGTCAACAGAAAGCAACGGAAATGAAAATGACTTTGTTAAAGCAGAGGAAGAAGCAAAAGGAAGCAATAGAAATGCAGGGGATGAGAAACAGAACCAGACTAATAATAATAATAACACAAAGCCTCCCGAACCTTCCAGGGACTATATTCATGTTAGAGCAAGAAGGGGTCAAGCCACTGACAGCCATAGTTTAGCTGAAAGAGTGAGAACTATAATTCACATTTCTCAATTCAAAATATTCAAGAATCAGCTGTTGGCGTTTCTTGCATTAACATTTGCTATATCTGTCACTTTTGTCAGGTCCGTAGAGAGAAAATCAGTGAGAGAATGAAGCTTCTGCAAAATCTTGTTCCTGGTTGCAACAAGGTCTGGAATTTGTCATAAATTTGGAAAATTGTAAACGAAGTAAAAACAAAAGGAGTGGTTTATGTGAACGATGAACAGCTTATTTCAATTAGTTCATACTATTTCAGTTAGTTCATACAGTCATATTTAACAGGTGGCATTGAGGTTTCGAATCCCAGCACCTGCAATTATTTTCCAGGCTGCAGCCTTCTTTATAAAAAAAATGGTTTTGGTAAAAATTATTGCAGTAATTCTTAAATATAATGGTCTTGTGTTTCAAATTGTAGGTCACTGGAAAAGCCCTAATGCTGGATGAAATTATAAACTACGTTCAATCATTGCAGCGACAAGTTGAGGTAGATTAACATATATTAATGAACGTGTGGTGATCAATTTCTTCGGATAGAAGTTTTCTTGACTAATGGTTATGATATTTTTTTATTTGCAGTTCCTCTCAATGAGGTTAGCTTCAGTGAATACCAGGCTGGATTTTAACGTGGATAGTTTAATGTCAAAGGATGTAAGTCTAAGCTCTTATGCCAACAGTTTATTTATATATTCTTTTCTCTGGAGACTAATTTTTCATTTCTTTGAATTGGGATTACCTCTTTTTTTTGTTCTTCTGCAGATATTTCAACCAAAAACCACTTTGCCACTTCCAATATTCCCAATGGATTCCTCGGCATCAGCCATTTTTGGGCACCATCCCCAGCAAAATCCAGCACTACATAGCAATATTTCTAATGGGACAACGACTCAAGGCTCAATGGACCCATTAGAGACTGGAATATGCCCCAACATTAACAGCCATTTACCTTCAATTACCCAGTTTACAGAAACTATCCCTCAGGTAATCTCATTTTCTTAGTTCCCCCAAAAAAGTGTAGAGATCAATGAGTTTTTCCATCCTTTTCTTTCCATTTCCTAGATCTAAACATGTAAAATTTGCCTCTATAAACTATGTTCAGTACCCAACATTCTGTGAGGGTGACCTGCAAACCATAGTTCAAATGGGGTTTGGCCAGAATCCCAGCCAGGAAATGGCATTACAGTCAGAAACCTTCCAGGGTAAGAAAAGTTAATGTCCCTAATAAAATCAATAAACCTTTTATAGCAGATTGATTGATTAATTGATGATTACTCTTGTAATGCAGGGTCAAATCAAGTATCCCACATGAAAGTCGAGCTGTAACAACCTTTCTTTGGTCCTGGATTAAAGGTCAAAAAGGAGAGAAAGGCTGATGCATGTATATACAAGGAATTTAATATGGACCAGTGCATGAACTACTAGTACTAGCCAATTATGCTTAGGTTTAAAGAGAAGGATTCTTTCCCTTTTTCACCCCTTATATTTTTTATCTTATTTGTGGGTTTTATTAATAATTTTGTCTTCTTCTAACTCTTTTTTGTGGATTTTTCTTACCCACTGTAAAATTTGTGTATTCCAGGTGCAATGATGTTATAGCAGAAGCACCAACATTGTAAGATATAGTATTAATTAATTCTAATTAGATATAAAGAGTTTCACTTTCCTAGCAGCTTTCATTTTCTACGCTAATGGACAGCCAGCTTTATTAATTTGGGACATAATTTTTTTTTTTTATAAAAAAGGTTACGGCTTAAAAATGTTGAATGTCACTTTAATAAATCAATTGAATTAAATTTCTGTTCCATCAATTTTGAGCCTTGTTAGATGCGTAATATGGTGGATTTGATCCTTACTGGTGTTAACCAGCTGTAGTTGTTGGGGGAAACTTTCTGCTCTCTCAAAAAAGTCTAATTAGAGTGATTTGCAGAGCTGGGGTCAAGTGTCAACCCATGATTCCTGGCAATTTCCCCCCGGGGGAGGGGGGGGGGGTGTCCTGTAATTTTCATAGATTAACCAAAAACAGAAGCTTCTGATCTGATCCTTTTATTTTTCTTTTTCACTGTGACAGAACCAAAAATCATTTCATTCAAGCACAGATAAAAGATTATAAGTTACAACCACCCCCTTTAATTATACTTTTTCTTTTCAATTAATTCTACATTTCTGCATCAAAAGAATCCCAGGATGGCAATGGTGACATTCTGACTAGACCAAATGAATCATTGAGCTTTGAAATCTCACCAACTTTCAATTTTTTTTAATCAGAAGAAAAGTTATAATTGTAGTGGAGTTCTGGAAAGAGGTCATTAAAAAAACAAAATGGGTAGTCAATTTTTTTTTTTTTTTTTGAGGTTGCTACTAAAAATCCAAATTCTGGGGCTTAAACAAAAGATTTCAGGGGTTGTAGCCATTATTGTGATTTTTTTAAATTCAAAGGTCAATTATTGGTTTGCAGATTAGGCTTTATTTAATCACCAGAAAGATGCTTTTAATGTGGCGCTTTGTGTTTTGTGTTCAGAGCAGTTGTAAAAACAAATAGCAATGGAAGATGTTCATGTGACAGTCTTGTCGCTGAAAAGTTAAAAAAAGAACGAATCATTTAGCGACGTGTCTAGGGATTGAATTTTGTCAATCTTTAATCTCTTTTCTTTTTTGCTTTCAATTATCATTTTGGATTAATTCTGCCAAATGACTGTTAAATGTCAGGAAAAAATAATGTGATAATTTAAGACAATATCTAAAATATGAGATAATTATCATTTTGTCACAAAAATTCAACTGCCAATAACTCCTAATTAACAACAATAAAATGTGTCCATCTGCATCCATTAATCCATTTAATTCAGAAAATGAGAAAGACTAGCTCTTTTTCCAAAGATTGGATGTTTCCATGGAAAAGTTTATATGAGGCTGCCTTTTAAATTCCAATGTTACTTCAACATTTCATTAAAATTGAAAGTGACATAAGAAGATGATTTCCTGCTGGCATATCCCTTCAGTTAGGTGGTGAATATGTTGTAGGGCTGAAATTGATTCAGAGTAAGGTCACTCTTATCCAAGATTTTAGCCCCTAATTTGTTAAGGGGAATGATGTTTATTAATTAAGACTTAATGGCTTTCAAAAAATTTGGCTCCATCACCGGAGATGGTAAATAAATTTATTTTTAAAAAATACAGTTCGAATCTCTTCATCTTTTATAATTTATTAATCAATAATGAAATAAATATAAATTCAAAACTTGATTTCGTTGGTTCATGTAATTATCTTTAAAAAATAATATTTAATATATTTTAGTTTTAAATTTTAATATTTGTAATCTCATTTTCTACTCTCATGTTTAGTGATGACAACGGATCGGATTGGGTCGAGATAATTTTTGCTCATTTCAAATCTAACTCAACTTTATACTTATAATACCCGATCCTTACCAGACATTATATCTGATCTGATCTGATTAAAAATTAATAAAATATTATTTTAATATAAATATATATTTAAATATAAATATAAAACTAAATAAATAATTTAAAAATAATTTTTTATATATACCAAATCGGATCAGAACGAATATACCTAAAACTTGACCTCAATTTTTTTGTTACTATTATTCAACCAAACTTGAAACTTGATTTAAAAGGAAAAAATTTATGGGATTGAGTCGGATTAAAACCTGTCAAGAAGAGATTAGGCTATCATCTCTACTCATGTTGTCACTTCTTTTGTTAAAAATAATGAAGTAAATGTAACTATATATGAATTAGTGCAAATGCAAAAGAGCACAATATTGTTGCATTTCTTTACTCTTTTTTACATAACATTACACTAGTTTATAATCATGTAGATGACTTGAGATTTGATTAATGTTGATGGAAAATTAATGTGAAACATAAGATTAGAAAATATAGCAAAAATGTTCTCCAAAAACCTATGAAGAGACATGGTCACATCAACATTTTCCTAGTAGGAGGAAAACATAAAAGGGAAAGAGACATGTCTTGAAGAGCACTGTTTTGCATTAAGCATTATTGTGTCATTGATGCTATCACTATTATATTGTTTTGTTTTTGTTTGCTTGCAATCCATTTCATAAATCCCTCTCCTTTCTAATGCGTCAAGGCCTAGCATTATGCCTGTACTGATCTAAGTTTTTATAGGGAAATTTTTGGTAACTTGTCTTAATCAAATCCTTAAATCCATGTGCTCGGCACAAACATCGCTCACACGCATACAAAATTTCTTTTAAAAATTTTATATAAAAAATGAATAATAAATTTTGGAATTTAAATAAAAAATTAAATTTACTAAAAAAAAGCCATTCGAATCCCCGAAATAGCAAGTAAAACCATGTTTTAATAGGTGGAAATGAGATTTTTTTAGGAACCTAAAGGGCATAATATACATGGATTATGATTAGGGTAGGTGTCCCACTCCCATTAACAAAGTAATTATCCATAATTTATCACCCTTTTTTTCTGTTTCCTGTCCTTTGGAAAACTTTTTAGGGCACTAATTTTAACAATATGTGGTTGGGTTTTTTTTTTTTTTTTTTTCTCCTTCAATCTGGAGGGAAAAAATGGTTGTGAAGATGAAAAAGAAGAAGAAACAATCCTTCCCCCCATCATTTGTTTCACCAACCATATGGCATTATTTCATGCTCTCCAACTGTAAACGTGTTTTTGTTTTCCTTGCATTTCAAAGCTTCTTTCTTCGCCACAAAAAGATCCCAAATTTTTTTCGTGTGGAAAGTTTTTAGTATTTGTGTCGCCAATGATTTCCACTTACTTTCTTTCCTTTTTAATTACTTCTAGAGTGGTGAAAATATCGTCAGTGATGTTTTTAATTTTTGGTGACATATTTTTTCAGTGTATATTAAAAAATTTTAAAATAATTAAAAACATATATCATTATTTTAATCTCATTTATGAAATTAAAAAATTTTATTGTCGATATATTATATAATTTTTAAATATATATTTTTTGCTTGTCATGTTTAGCACTTTGACATTTTCAATTTTTTATGGGATAAGAGGTTTTCCAAAGAATGAAATTAAAATCTAAATTTCTTTTCCAAAATTAAAAAAAAATTGATATCTAAATTTCTTATCTTTAGTCAATTTCTCAGTTAGTCTATAATGGAATACACCTCAATAGTCAGAAGTTGAAAATTTTACTTAACCTTTTTTTTTATAACTCAAATTTTAATTAAAGGAGATAAAAATGTTTTAAAATGTAAGAAATAATAAAAGAAATTGATGTATCGTGCATGTTCTAAAAGCTTAGCTTTTATATGAAACTTTAACTAAAACAAATTAAGAAAGAAATTTACATGATATTCATGTAGGTAAGTAACCTAATTTGGAGGATGTCCAATGAACCTATGACCTAGAAACCTACTTTGAAAATTCAATCCCCTTGGTTATTTTACCTCTTTACCTGCCTACATAAACATACATGCTAATCTTATACTTTATCATTTAGGGGTTTAATAACAAAATGACATGACGATTTTTTTTATATCGATCATTCAAATGAAACATTAATAAACCTAGATCTTTCACCAATAATTTTCCTCTTGCTTTTATAAATTTTTTATGGTTTCATTAACGGCGTTGTTTTTTTATCATATTAAATAATATTTTATAATATTTACCGACGGATTTACATATAGAGTGAGGTTTCTAAATTTTGTAAAATAAAATAATTTAAATGGTAATTTTTTCTTGAATATCCTTAAAAATTGTTCTAATTATTCTTTCATTGATAAAATTAATAAATTTATCAATATTATATATATTTATATTATCAATCAATACTCTTGAAAAAAAATTATATGTACCATTAACAATTTTTATTGTAAGTGGACACTCTTTCTTTTGCCCTTTTTCCTCTTGATCTAAAAGTAAGTCCAAGGCTTTTTTTTTCTCCAAAAGGACTCAATTTCAAGTATTTTTTTTTTTTTTTTAATTTTTAATCTATCTTTAAATTTTTTTATTTTATTATTTACGTGATTGAAAAAAATATTACATGCATAAATTTTTTAAAGCCGTAATTTTTAAATATCAATTTCAATAATATATCATTGGATGCAAGAGATAATTAGGTTGAGCCTTTTTTTTTTGTTTTTAACTTTTGGGAAGAATTTTGTAGATAAATAACCGAATTTTTACAAAAGTAAATGACTTATCTTCTCATATAACCGTAGGAGGTTTACCAAGGCTGTTGAGCATGTCTGTCAATTCATACAATTGACACATGAATTGGGCTCAATTACCGACCAAGGATGCCACAGCCTAGAAGGCTTTCTGTTATATAAAAACAAACCCATTGGCAAGTCCACTTGCTCCTCAAAAAGTCGATCAGGTGATCCAAAGGCTACAACTTTCAAAGCCCATAATGGAGAAGCAAATGGGCTAGTTGGACAATAAGTCGATAACAAATCTAAAGAT